TCGTATTTTAAAATCAAGTATTTAATTTGATTGATTGGAACTAACTACATATGTAAGTGGTTTTAGTTATTTCCATATGTAAAAACTCCAGATCTTTTATAAAAATTGGTGGAGTCTTGTCGATCGATAAAGGTGGGAAGTTTCAAGCAATTCCATTTTTATGCAATTTGCATTCCACATACATAGTCATAACAACAGAGCCGAAAAATGGAAGAAGTCCAAAGCTCAAATTCAGTTCTATTTCATTTTATTACGATTGCACAGCAACAAATATTCATTTCAATTTTTATTCCTTTCTACATACATACATGCATATTATGCATGGCGAATGTAACCGATTTCCGTGGACAGCTTTGCCTACGCAAATTTGATGAGCCTCAGCATGTATTTATTTGGCTGACGGATGTTTCCACACAAGCGTGTGTATATGCGAATGTAAGCAAATAAAATATGGGGTGGCAGCTCTGTTATTGAGGGTGGTTGGATGGAAAGCTGTATGCTAACTCGGAGATGCATAAAAAACCCAGCGCAGACACTCAAATCATCTTTATTGCTGGTATCGTTATTTTTATTATTATTGCCACTTGCTGGTAAAAAATTACCCTTCGTAATTCAACAACCACTCGCAATTTTTGTTCGAGGTCTATCGCTGCGTGAAAGGTGCTTATTGAACATTCAGAGATTAGATATGTAGCTGTACATCAAAGAAATCTTCGAGTGTTTTTTTTTATGTTTTCATGAAACAAAAATAGAAAAAAAAATATACAAGTATCTTAGTAGAAAAATGCTTTTTCTAACTTTCCAAAATGGTTTTGTTAAAAACGGACTTTGGGCCAATTATTAGTAAATCTTATTTTTTTTTAGAAAATATTTGGATCATTCATACTATGTAGATACGAGTATTTCAACAGTATGTATGGCAAGGTAAAGTTTCATTGAAATCGTTTGGTTTTTAGTCTGATAAAAAATACTTTATTTATTACTACCTAATGTCAAAACCTACAAATTGTACACTTCTTTTTTTTAATGTGTCCAAGCCTTCCTTTTCCTCAGCCACTACCATCCGTATCACATTGAAAACTTTCAAGACTGGAGCGTTTGAGTCCATTCATTAGTGGATTCACTGTATTATGCAATTCGCTTCACGATGTTTATTTATGTTCAAATACAGATGATATACATTTTGTATTTCATGGCAGCTTTTCGAGTTTTGATTCAGATGTAAATCTTGAAGAAGGAAATTCTATACTCCAAACTTAGAAAAAAAGGCGTTGTAAAAATAAAATTTTTTTTATTTGATTACCGTTTAAAAATGTTCGTATTTAAATCAAGTAAAAAGTTTTCAAAACTCAATATTTCCATTATACTGGGTGGCGCCGAAAGAGCTATATGGCTTGAATTCCTTATAACTTTATTTTTATTTTGTTTTTGAAATTTGTGAAGAAGACTTGGGGAATTAATTATAAATCATTACACGATCGAACAACGTGCAAAATAATTGAATTTTATTTTTCCAGAAATCCAGACTTTATTCACAATTTGGTAATGAGCGACGAAGCCCATTTCCTATTAAATGGGTATGTCAGCAAGCAAAACTGCAGGATTTGGGCTACGGAAAATCCAAGAGCAGTGCATCAGCGAGAATTACACCCACTTAAGTGTACTGTTTGGTGCGGTGTATCCTCCGAAAGGATAATTGGCCCATATTTTTATACCCGAGCGCACTTGTGCACAAGGGTATATTAATTTTGTTCACATAACGGTTGTTTGTAACAGCCAAAACGAATCGAGATAGATATAGACAAATGTATACATAAATGATCAGGATGAAAAAAGAAATCGATTAAGCCATGTCTGTCTGTCCGTCCGTCTGTCCGTCTGTCCGTCTGTCCGTCTGTCCGTCTGTCCGTCTGTCCGTCTGTCCGTGTACACGATAACTCGAGCAAAAATTGAGATATCTCAACGAAATTTGGTATGTAGGTTTCCCTTAATCCAAGGTAGGTTGGTATTGAAAATGGGCGAAATCGGACTTTAACCACGCCCACTTCCCATATAACGGTAATTTCCAGAAATACGAAAACTGCGATATTTTAGTAACTACTGAAGATAATGCACTCAAAATTGATATTTACAATAACTTTTAGACGAAAAATAAGAATATTATAAATTTTTGGAAAATGGGCGTAGCCACGCCCACTTATGGTTACATATGTATATCTCGGTAACCGCTGCACCAATTTCTTCCAAACTTGGCACAGTTGTTGGCCTTTACATAACATACCAAATGGCCGAAAATTTTTAAAATCGCTCAATAACCACGCCTACTTCCCATATAACGCTAATTTTCAGAAATACGAAAACTGCGATATTTTAGTAACTACTGGAGATTATTCACTCAAAATTGATATTTATAATAAGTTTTAGACGAAAAATAAGAATATTATAAATTTTTGGAAAATGGGCGTAGCCACGCCCACTTATGGTTACATATGTATATCTCAGTAACCGCTGCACCAATTTCTTCCAAACTTGGCACAGTTGTTGGCCTTGGTACAGCATAAAAAGCCGCCGAAACTTTTTAAAATCGGACAATAACCACGCCCACATCCCATATAACGGTAATTTAGAGAAATACAAAATCTTCGATAAATCATTAAATATTGAAGCTAATTTATTCAAAATTGATGCTTGCAACAATTCTTTACCAAGAAATACGTTTATGGTAAAGTTTTGGAAAATGGGCGTGGCACCGCCCACTTATGATCACATATAAGTATATCGGTAACCGTTCTACCAATTTGTACCAAACTCG